TTTGGGACATTTATTAACACTTGGTGAAAAGCATTTACTTCAACAAATAGTAGGTTAGCATAAAATCTCTACATTTTTCCTAAAAAGCTTAAAAGTTGGCTCGCGCTTAATTTGTTAGCGCAATTTTTTCGAAAAACTGTCATCACATGGTAGCCTTAACTAATCCATATCCCTCATAACTGGGATAGTTTGAGTAAAATTTAAAAAAAGAAAGCTTTTTATACGACATGAAAGGCACTGAAGAAGAGAACAGAAATCCATTGTACCATTGATGAGACAGCATAATCTATAAATAAAAGGATAAAGCACTCGGCGTTGATCAATCCCTTCGGGAAGCGCCATGCATTTGACTTGATTAAGTATCGTTTCGAGGTGATTGAATGCATATCTGGCCTTCGCAGTGACTCACGGTGGCCTACCGATGTATCGAGACAGTGCTGCTATCCTCCAAAGCAGGCCTGGTACCAATTTGTCGACCTCGGAGGGACCACAGGCGCGGAGATCGATTCCACGTTTGTGTTTCAGGGCGCCTGCGATCACTGCGCCACGCGCACCCTATACATGTTTTGCTTTGTCTTTCTTCCGCACCATTCCTCTCTTTTATGAAGTCGACATTCCACTCTCTTTAATATTAGCAATGATACTAGTAAAACAAGGAGCAACAGGTTATCCTTTATTGATAATTTCGTTTTCAGGTGAATAATGTCCGACGACGATGAAGTGTAGTAGGTTTTTCTCACAAAATTTATCTTCGCATCACAAAAAAATTCTGCTAAAAAAGAACATCTGTCGAAATGTCCACTAGAAAAATTGTGATAAGGATTACGAGCTCTAAAGCAGTGACTGTTAAATGAGGATTGTTTCAGCTCTGACGAAGAACTAGAAGAAGAGGAAGAAGTGGAGGAAGAGGAAGAAGAAGAAGACGAGGAAGAGGAAAAAGAAGAAGGAAAAAAAGTTGAAAAAGCTGCTGGACAGAGGCGTCCTAGGTTGGCAAACTTATTTTTTCCCCACTTCTAATTTATTATAATTCGTGGTAAAATAATTTTTAAGTGGAATTCTCTTAACACCACTGCTTTACATTTACTTCTCCGTAGAATGAACGTCAAGGGAAAAAATTCATCATAAGCTTTTACTACTAATTTATGATCATTCTTGGACTGACTTAGATATGTCCAGAAAATTATGCACACAAGAATTTGATTCGGAGGAGTTTTTTCCACTTTCTCGAATTATCTAGACTAATAAAGCTTATATTAACAACCAGGGGGCGAATAGCACAGTGGCAGTGATGTCCTTCATCACGGCATGGTGTTAGTTCGATTCCGTTCCGAGCCAACCAAGTTTATCATCCTATCGGGGTCGGGAAATTGGTACCGGACTTATCTTGGATAAAAACCGCTCTCTGTAGTCCAATTTGGAACGCTCCAGCCCATTTATCTTAGGACTCCAGCGAGAATTGCTTGACCAGCATTCTACGACGTTCAAGATGAAATGAAAATCGTCAAGGTGAAAGCGAAGCCACACATAAAAGTTGGAAGATTCTCGTTTACAATGGATGTAAGGAAACGGATCGAATGCGAGAACTACTGGGATCCGCACGGTAGACGAGAAGACGGGTTATATAAAATAGAATGAAATAAAACAAAATAAAACAGAAATAAATGAAACATTAGCAACCAATAATCATTACAGAAACGAACTAGGAGTTTATTTTTTTGATAATCACCGTAAAACTTGGTCATACTTAATGTTTATCTCCTTCTTTCCTTTTTCGCCTCGGCAATAAATGTACACCCACTTGAAAATGTCATTCGTTTAAAAAAGTTTTTTGACAAAACCTGTGGGCGTTGATCAATCCCTGAGGAATGTGTCATGCATTCGACTTCTCTAAGCATCGTTGGAGGTGACTGAATGCATATCTAGCCTTTAAATGACTCGCAGTGGCCTACCGATGTATCGAGGCAGTGCCGCTATCCACCCAAACAAGCCTGGTAGTAATTTGTAGGCCACAGGAGGCGGAAAGCTCGGTGTGCCATGAGCGCGGGGATCAATTCCACACATGTGTTGCAGGCTGCCTCCGACCACTGTGCCACACGCGCCTTTTTTGAGAAAAGTTTTTAACGTAAAATATTTGATTATACACAGAGATAACAGAGCAAGAATAATTAAATACACAACGTATGAATAGATAAAAACCCAAATAGTTCCATCTCTGAACAACACTAACATCTAGCATTATCATAAAATTTCTGGTATCCAAAGAAAAAATTAAACGAGGTACAATAAGAATTGAAAATTTTTTAAAAAAAGCACTACCTTTCTCGCGTCTCCGAACTTCGAGCGCTATTTCGGCTCAAGATCGGTGTCTGGTTGCTAGTTGGTTGACGTGTCGGCAGAATCACCTTCTTCAGAGCGTGGGAGGGCATAGTGATATAAAATTTACAATGTCAAACACTTCAATAACACCTACAGAAAGATGAGAATCTAAATGGTAGTCACATGGTCAACATCTTCTCGAAAACCCACCGTTTTCTACGTGTATTCCACTGTAGAAGAGCCGCTGATCAGCGTCGCATATGGTTGACGACTGCACCTTCCCACATCAACGATTGATGCGAAGATACGGGGTCAGATCGGGTGTAACCTCTAGGCATTCCTCCCTGCTATTCATTATGGGTTTCTGGCATCTGTCCAAAAAGCCTCAATAAGTTTGCGCGTTGGTGCTTTAGTCTCCGGTGCGAGGATATTGACTTTTACTTCAAAATCGTCTCCGCTATGCTTTTGTATCCTATGCATGCCTAGTGTCTTGCTTTCCTTTGCCATCTAAGTGTTCTTTATGCGGATACATAAAGTTCTGCCCGTTTGACCAATATATTTATCTCCGGAAGAAGTACCACAAGAGATCAGGTATATCGTACCCGAACTCATGCAGTCACCGTCCTTTGCGTAATTTGCCCTTATGGCAGGAAACTCGTGGTGGTCTATCGATGTATCGAATCAATACTGCTCTTCTTCTAAACAGGCGTGGCACATATTTGCCCACTCCAGAGTAGTGGAACTCTTGCTGAGCCTGAAGTTTGGGATCGAACCCGTGTACATCGTAGGGCACCTCTAGCCATTGTGCTACACACTCCATTGCTATAGATATTTAAAAGAAAGCAGCACCTGACTTTAAAAACGCGAAAAAAACTTTCCAACGGGTTTTCGGATCTTTCCTACTTAAATGCTGGGTGGTAAGTTTAGAGTATGACAATCGCCGTTTGAAAAGGTTTTGCAAATTCTGATTCCTTTCAAAAACCTAGTCTTTTATTCAAAGAATTCCTCATGAATGACTCTTTTCGCATATTCTTTTTCTTTCTTTTTTTACTAACTTTAATTTAGCTGCCAAATTCATATTGGAATCACGGAGAACGAAGACGGACTGATCAAGCCCGAAACAGCTACGATGGTTGGTAATTTTGGCTTAGAAACATCTTTACGAAAGAATTGTACCTTCGGACAGTCGAATCGAAATCGCTCGACTTGTATTAAATAACACGATTTACCATACAACCACAGGGATGCTGAGACATGAGCAAAACTCGGAACCTAAGTTGGACTTCGAACGCGTGATTACCCTTATCGGGCTGCTGGCTTGACTACGGCTTCACCTTGACTGGGTCCAGTGTCGATTTCTGCTTCCCAGATCTTTCTCGTTTAGCGATGGTCGCTGATAGCGCGTTAGGGGAAAAACTGACTGAGAAAGACAAAACAAGGACATCGGCTGGTGCAGTGGGTAACACATTAGATCGCGGAAAGGGTAGTCGCGGGTTCGAAGCTGGTCTGCACGATTGCTGTTATATTTCACGTTATACGTTGTCATAAAAAGCAATAAGTGGTAAGTAAAAGTTGATACATTACCAAGTGTACATAATAGTAGTTCATTTTTTCAGTAATTTTATACGGTGACTTTCACCAATTTTAAAAATGGATTATTAACTGAGGTCCTGAGTTTTGCAAATGTCTCAGCATCATTGTGGTTGTATTTCGCATTATACCCTGCCGTGAAAAATCATAGTATGTAGCACACAAACAGCCTTATGATTTCGACTACAGCCTCAGCTTAACTGGGTTCAATGCCGATGTGGGGTCCCGAGATCAATCCCGTTGACGGGTGATTGCTGATGGCGCCGATCAACAGAACTAGATGAGAGACATGCGAAAGAAGGATTCGCATGGTGTTGAACGCATTAGCTCCCTGAAAGGGCAATAGAGCGTTCATTTCTCACCGCAGATACCTGCGGTCCGGAGTTTTGCAAATATCTCAGCATCATTGTGGTTGGATTATTAACTGTTACAGCAGTGTAATGGAAAACAATGTGGTACCATTATCACGCTTGGTGTCCTGCAAATAAGCTCTGTCATTGTCATATTAAAATGACATCAATGAAACGGTTTCTATTGTATTCATTCGCGTTCATTGGTTGGATCAGCACCTCCACTGTTACTACAATGTCAAGAGAGTTGCTCTCAATAGAGGGAATACTAGTGTGTTTAATGTCGTCATCCAATTTATACTCGCTCCTCCTTCATCAGCTGTCTCTCGAGAGCCACTTTTCAGTACAAATTAAGATTAAACTACTTTAACAAACTTGAAATCGGACACAAATGAAGGAACTAAAGTGGCCTTAGCCTACCCAATAGCCATATTAGAAAAAGAAAAAACTACATTTCGTCTTTTTCCTGAAGATTTTCTAAGGGTCCCATGAACAAAATTTTAGATGAATGCGCTATCGTGAACCCTTCAGTGAAGAGATAACTTCTAGGGTTTTAGGAAGAACTATGCTATTGATGACAAATGATGGTGTTTAAAATAATGAAAAGATAATTAAATATGGTAGAATGCCAATTTCCAGGATTTACTAAGCAAGTGTACTACGCTAGTAGAGACATATGTGCCATAATGACAGACACGCATAAGGTAAAGTTGGAAAATATTTAATGTAGAAGACAGAAAACATTTGAAAGATGCACAAGAGAATTGTTGGTTTCGGTTTCTTCAGTAAACCATCAAATGAAGAATTTAGGTTAAAAAGCGTCTCGAAGACGAGGAAAAAGGAAAGCTTCAAGATTATGAAGAAAGAAGAAAGAAAGAACGTGAAGTTGAAGAGGAAGAACTGAAAAAACTGAAAGAAAAACAAGAACGTCGTCGACTGGAAAGAGAACAACAAGAACGCGAAATGGCCGAGAAGAAGCTCCTGGAAGACGAACGCAGAAAAAAAGAAGAGGTTGGAAGTAATACTTTTATTTAACACCATAGAAATAGTGCAATCACACTATTTCGGCAAATGTGTCATTAATGTTATTTACATGAAAAGCTAGTCGTCTGAACACTTTTGAATGAGGACATTGTGGGCGGCGTGACTCCTATAGTAGTCATTTTGTTTCCTGTGTTTTACCTTGGCGCTGAAAACATTTCTCCTAGATTTCTTGTAACCAATAGATAGGTAATTTTCAGCAGCATTGTTTTTCAGCTTTGAAGCAGAATTATAAAAAAAACCACTCAACCCATAATAAGAGACTCTTAAGGAAGACCGCCGAGTACGTCAGGAAGAAGAAAAAAGAAAGAAAGAAGAGGAGAAAAACAAACGGCAGCAAATGATCGGCTTAAACTTTCCGACTGGTCAAGGCGGTAGGTATGTGGTCAGCTACTTCTGCCGTAATTTGATTTTAGGTGTAAAGAGCTGCTATGCAGAACACACATTTTGTTTACACTGGCCAAAATTCTAACCAAATTTAAGAAATTTTGTCATACCGATAAAGACGGAAAAGAACGACAAGTTCGGAAATATTGTGCAAGCAAAACAAGAGATGGGGATGACCAAAGATCAGCAGGAAGAAGCAAAAAAGGTAAGGATAATACTTTAGATTCCTAGATTACTAAAATTCTTAATGAATTCCGTAAGGGCGCGTGTAGCGCAGTGGTTGGAGGCGCCACTGCGACACACACGTGGAACCGATCTACGCGCCCATGGCCCACCAAGCCTTCCATCCTTACGGGTTCGGGAAATTGGTGCCAGACTTGTCTGGGAGGATAGCAGCACTGGCTCGATACATCAGTAGGCCACCGCAAGTCATTGTAAAGGCCAGACATGCATTCAATCACCTTCAACGATACTTAATGAAGTCGAATGCATGGCGCATCCTTTAGGGATTGATCAACGCCAAGTGCTTTATCCTTTATCTATTCTTCATTGAATTGCATAAAGAAAGAAGAATCTGGAAGAGGGAGGAGATCCTTAGGCGGTTGTAGAATCAACAAATAGGTAATTGTAATAAAAAAAAACTGACCTACATTGACCTATTCAGTCAGCAAAGAGCATGATCAATAAGGAAAGCATGTAGCGCAGTGCTTAGATTTGACCACCAATACACACGAGTAGTTTGCTAGATCCCAAACTTAGTGCTAGCCAGGCCCTCTTTCTCTCCGGGTTCGGTAAATTGATACGAGACGATCTATGGGTGGATGAAAACACTGCAATCGAATGAAAAACAAGAGAAGATCAATAGAGGATACATTCCGATGAAACTCGTAAGGTTCAAAAACTACTGTGGCTTAAAATTCAGGTGTTCATGGTTACCGTACGTAATGCAATTCCGGAGGCGTCGGAAATTCTTGCAAACGAACTGAAAGCGAAAATCAAAGAACTTCATAATCGAATTTGTAAACTCGAAACGGATAAATACGATTTGGAAAAGCGCCACGAGAGACAACAGTACGATGTAAGAACGATTTCAGAATTCTAACTTATTATTTACTGCCTACTCTTTCTAACGGCAGGGTATATATTGCGAAATATAACTTTAATGATGCTAAGATATTTGTAAAACTCCGGACCGCAGGTGTCTGCGGTGGGGAACGAACGCGCTATTGTCCTTTCCGGGAAGTAACGCGTTCACCACCACGCCATGCAGGTCCTTCGTTTCGTCTGTCTCTCAGCTAGTTCTATCGATCTTTTGCCATCAACAATCACTCGTCAGCGGGATTGATCTGGGAACCCCAAATCGGTAACGAACCCTGTTAAGCTGGGGCTGCAGTTACAATCACAATTTCAACTTATTATTCTCTCGGCTAAACGATTTTAGATTTTTTCTATACAAAAAAAGCCAGGCAAAGTTTGAAATGTGTGGCTGTCGTGTGTGGGCTGGTTCAATCCTCACCAAGGCAGACATTTGCTGCATGTTGCAAGCGTTGTTGAAGTGAAAACAATGAATTTCAAATATGAGACAGTCAAGTGAAACAAAAGAGGTGAAGTGAAAGCGTGAAAAAGACACTTGTAGGAGAGTGACATTTATCGTTTTGCTGCTTTGAGATGATCTTCAAGGTCTTTTTTAAGCTGGAACTTTTCACGATGCCTTCCCACTTAGACAGAGCTTCTAGAAAGTAACTCAACTTCTTACCTTCTTCGTTTGCGATTTGTTGTGAAACTTCCAAAAAGTTACCCCTAGTTTGTAAATGATGGTTACAACAGGCAAGAGAGGTGTTAAGTAACTGAAGAACAACATTCTTCGAAATATGGTTCCTACTTGAGTACTTTTCGAAAATATCGGATTTCAGCTGAAAGAACTGAATGAACGATCTCGACAAGTGGCGAGAAACGCCGATGGCAGGAAAGGCCGTGACGCCGAGACCGGTGGCCGCCACCCGGTATCTGGACTCCTTTCATAAGCTTTGTTTCATTTCCTTAGGAAAAAGAAAAAACAACGAGTAGAAAGCAGATTTATTACGCTTCGGAATGGAAAGCTCACAAGCAATATTTGTAACGCCTTTTACAGCCAAAGGTGCAGGTATTTTCAAAATACGATCGCCAAATTGATCGACGAAACTTCAAAGAAAGAAGATCCATGTACGAGCACGTAAGCTTCTATAGTTTTTACTTTAATGCAAGCTGAAACCAAAAAGAAAAGCCAAAAAAACGAGTACAAGGGAAACTCGCCTTTCACAACGTAAGCCACGAATCATCATCAGATCTGCATCATCATTTTGTTACTATGAATTTAGTTCTGAAAGCGCGGGAAGATTTGAGACCACCTACATAAGAATCAGCGCTACATTTATTGATTATTTTACATGACCCCTCATCACATCTACTGTGCGAATCTCAGTACTTCTCGTATTCTGTTTGTTTTCTTCGCATTCATTCAACGGTCCACAACGGCCTTTGAACACGGATGACACGCGATCTTCGAATATTTCGTGTATTGTTTCGATTAATGCTTGACGATTTCGCCTTTTTTACGAATGTCGTAGAATGCTGGTTGAGTTGATCATTCTTGCAGTGTTAAAGATAACCGACCTAAAGCGTTCCCATGTGGGTTGAAGGTAAACGTTGGGACCGGCATCGAACAGGGCAGCTTCACTTCTGCATGACCAACCACTGCGCTATCCCCACTATGCTTATTGATCACACCATCGAGTTAACTAATTTTTCAACCAATCTTCAAAAGGTAACAGGTTTCACCCAAATCAATGTCTCAATCAATTTTATTTAAGAAAAACGCATTTCCATGTTTTCCTGGAGTTCCACCACCACCAACAATCTTCCAGAAAATAATTAAGAAATACGAATATGAAACTCAAGAAGACGAAGAGGTTGGTAGTAAATCCTTTCAGAACTTTTTTCGGTTCACTGAAGGCGTTTGGTGAATTGCGATGGTCGTTTTTTACCTACCTTTTCTTCAACTATGAAGATGAATAATTTAGGCAGAAGAAATAGAAGACTACGAATAGCTACGACTACTAAGTATGAAAGTTTTGTGTCTCATGTAAAGTTACTAATAAATCGTTACGTGATGCTCTCTTGCGATCTACGATGTTCCGAAAAAAATAATTTAAGTACACATTTTTGTGACGACACAAGAATTCAATTACGGTATAATACACAATAAATCCTCTCCCTTTATTTCCCTGACATCCAAATGCCTCATCTTTCGGTAAAATCAACGCGGGACCAGGACTATTGTTTATTTCGCCAGTATTTTGCTGATTTCGCAAGATCTCTTGGTGTAGGCTCTCAGAAAACTCTGGATAGTTGATTTCCAGTTCACCGTCGCAAGCTGCTTCCGGCTCTAGCGGATTAGGAGGGGGTCTATAGGTTTCCAAAACGATTGCTTCTATAACAGCATCTATTTGTTGGTAATGGTTTTTTTAAACTATGCTTCAGGATAGAAACCTTAAAGTTGTTGCCAACTTTGGTGAATGTCACTGTCGTGAACCAACTGCTGTACATCGGTGGCCGACAGACAGTTTTATCCTACAAATCGCAAGATGGTAAAACGGGAGGAAATCCGAATCAGTTTATGAAGTCCCACGTATCTTTTTTGTCTAGAAGAAAGTCCTTTTTTCACGCAGGTTGACGCCGTCATTCTAGAACTAGGGTTTTTTTCGAAAATGTTTTCACTGCCGTCATCTTTATCGGCTTCATCACCGGTGACTTTTCTAATGCACTTGACTATTAAGTAACTCGCCCAGCTAGCAGTAAATTCCATCGATTCCCCTTGCTAACTAGAACAATTCGGCAGATTCTCCTCCTTCAAGGAACACGGACAGTGTAATCCTTTGTTTTGATTCTCTTGTTTTTCTCTTTTTTAAAGAGACGTTAGCCACCTACAGGTCGTTGAGCTTTCATACGATATAGGTTAACCCATTGGTGAAACTTCCGGATAGCGTTCTGTGTCAGTGATAGTCTATCTTATTAGGTTTTTATTTTTTCCGAAATTTCGAAACATTTGAATTTATTTTATGTAGAATAGAACCACGATGATACTAAGATATTTGCAGGGCCTTGACCTTAGGTTAGATCGAACCCGCGATTACCCTTCTCGGGAGTTCACGTGTTACCCACTGCACCACTGAGGCTCTTGCTTTGCCTTTCTCTTCTAAATAATAGGTAATAAATTGAAATTTAAGTGTTATATTGCTATTTCGTGTGTCTAAAAGCATGTGGGAAAAAGGTGAAACCTAATGAAAACTTTCCCACTGTCATGAGATCGCTATTTTTTTCGAAGTTATTCATGCCAAAAAACACGGAAGAGGAGTGGCTAAGATATTTAAAGCATAAGGCGTTCAGCGTTGATCAATTTCTGAAGGGTGCGCTATACTTTCAACTTCACTAAGCATAGTTAGAAATGACTGAATGCATAGTTGCCCTGTACAATGTATTGCGGTGGTCAACCAATGTACGAAGTCAGCGCTGCTCTCCTTCCAGACAAGTTCGGTACAAATTAGCAGACCCAGAGGGTAGAAGGGTTACAAGCCCAGGACGCGAAATCGAATCAGAGACCTTGTGTCTATTGCAGTGCGTACCTATACATAACGATGCACTCGTCCTGAAGTGGTTAAAAAACCCACGAATTAATAAACACAAGATCATTGGCTCACAATGGAGAAAAATAGGCAGCACTCATCTCTGGAAAGCACTCCATCAAATTCACAAGAGCTGCTCGTTGCATTTGATGAAGACAGAAAGAGTTATTCGAGTTAAACACAGCCACAGTGGTGAAGAACGTGATATCGTCATAAAGCAGCAAATCTGAAAAACTTTAAAAGTGATTACTGGGAGATAACGAACCGTATAAATGAGAGTTGGGATTCGCATTAAATGTGTTCATGTAAAATAATTAGAAACTTGGACGGTCCGTACTTACGAGTACTACAGACCTCATCACACTTGCCATTCGTTTCTTTCCCTCGCAATCGTCATCCATGGTGGTGGTTTTATTTGAGCATGGTGGCACGTGTGAGTCTCATATCGTGATCTGTAAAACAACTGCAGTTGCGGGTAAAGCTGATTTAACGCGAGGTGTTATTATTCTTTGTTCACGATTAAGCTGACGTTTCGGCGGATTTCGCCTTCCTCAGAGCCTGGAAAGGTCAAGTTGATAGCAATCTACTCGGCCAGACGCCTCCATAACCAAACAAAGAAACTCCAAACCAAGATTTCAATCACTTTGAACACAACTTTGCACACTCACCGCTTCCTATGAGGTTTCCACTAAGTATGTCACGTAGAGACCAACCGCACAGAAATCACGTGGAAGTATAATGTGCCCCTCACATCAGAAAAGCAGTTTTATATACTGCCCTATATCACGCGTGATAATGAGGCATTCTTCCCTGCGGTTCATTTTCGGATTTCTGGAATTAATCCAGCGTGCCTCGAGAGTTTTTCGCGCCGAGGTTAATAGAAAGTCGGTCATGGCAGTTAAAGCTGATTAAGTTTAGTTACGAATATATCCACTCAAAATGCAGATGGCCACCGTTGGGAACGCGTGTGTTCTCGTTGAGTTCACGCTACAGTTCTTGTTGTCATCTATCGTCCGTTCTTCTCATTATGTGACCGGCCCATCTGTGCTTCGCTATCGATGTCTATTTCCGTGGATCCCAAAGATGTGACAGATTTCGTAAGTCAGAGGTTCGCATGCTGGCTAAATATTGGGAGTACCGCAAATATTTCAGAAGACATCGTTCAAGTACTCTGTGCTGAGGAGTATTCTTGACGTGGTTGAAATATCAGCTCGTGTCGTGTCTCTGCAGCACAACAGAGCGCTGGGAGGGCATCTGAACCGAAAACGTGATCACGGATTTTTGGGTCCTTCAGTTGGTCGGTGACTTCTTTGAGAGGTTCATACACGGGTCGAATTGCATTACTTCTTCTGTCTGATTTTTCCTTCATGTTGTTTTCCATGTTTATTGATTGCCAAAGGTATGCGCATGAGGCGGTCTCTGCAATCGAAGAGCCATACAGTTTATTTTGTTCTCCTTCGCACCGTGGAGTTTCCTTGAACTGGGCATACTTCCGATTTATGCGTAGTCTTATCTTTTTCCCGCTTCGTTGAGCTTATTGATTACCTTCTTTGCTTTACTGGTGGTTCTTGAGAAGATGACCATGTCGCCGGCGAAACAAAAGCTGGTTTAATAGGAATTTCCGAACAATAAGTATGCCTTCCTCATCTTTATCGAATGACTTCTTTGTCCACTTCTTGTGTCCACTTCAGAGCGGCACTAAACAGCTTTGGAGATATTGTGTCACCCTGTCGTACCTCTTTTCCTATGGGTATGGTAAGAAGTCGATGCAAAAGTCGCATTTTCGTAGTGCAGTTCCAATACCAGTCAGACAGAGTTCCCATGGAGGATGAGTTCTCTCCTTGCTCGACTAGCGCTGATCGGATTGCATTCGTTTCGACACTGTCAAACGTTTTTTCGTAATCGACAAAAGTGCGAACTAGGGGCAGGTGGTATTTTCAGCAAACTTCAATAAACCTCTGTACAATTTGGATGTGGTCGATGCAACAAAATCCTTGTCAAAATCCTGCTTGCTCCACTGGTTGCGCCTTATCCAATGTCCTTGATATACGCGAGAGGATAATCTTCATAAAGAGCTTGTAGACGCTTAACAAGCATGTCGGACAGTAGTTACGAAAAGCCCTTCGGTCACCTTTCTTGGGTACGATAACCGTACGTGATGTCCGCCACTGGTCTGGGATTTTTTGCTCTTAAAGGTAGGCTCTCATATGGTTTGCGAGAACTACAAGTAAATTGTGGCATCAAACTTCAAGAAAGTCAGCAGATATATCATTGCGTTTTGGAGCCGTGCCTTTTTTGATGCGTTTTGCAACTCGAACCTTAGAAAAAAGAATTCTATGTGGCTTTTTTCCAACGGAGATTTTAGGGTCTAAAACTGGGATTGTGGAAGAGAAAAGGTTAGTGTAGAACGTTTCTATTATATATTATATTTTAGTGAATATCATGGGGGAAAGTTTTAGTGAACCTATCCTCTTTCTTCAGAGGTTACAGCGGAACCTCATAGTCACACGAATCCCGACGACGAACTTCTTTTCTCTTCTGCTTCCAGTGGTTTCTTTTACCAGTACAGACGTAGATCTTTCTGCAAAGCTTTTCTGCCGCTGGCATTTATTACCAGCCTTGTTAAACGCGTTTCGGTAGGATCAAGCTTCAGTTTTCTTCTCTTTTCTAGCGACTCCTTAGTAGTAATGGAGATGCGATGCGATCTTCTTGCTTGGGGAAGTGAGGCGAATTCAGAATAACTTTTCAGTCTTTCCACAAGCAGCTCGTAGAATTCGGTCGGAACTTCGTAAATCTGCAGGTCACGTTTGGATAGGATTTCATTCAGGATGTCTTCGTTGTACACAACTAGACTTTCTCCTCGTAGTCGATTACATGAAATCTTTTCCAGCTTGCGGCTGAATCGAATCTTCGCGCGAAGAAGGTGGTGATCGGAACCAGTACAGAATGACGGGACTACCGATGTGCCAAGTAGGCACCATCTTCTGTTTGTCAGAATGTTGCTGATCTCCGCATGAGTCAGGCCGTTAGTGGACTCCCATGTCCAGCGGCGGCTTTCTTTCTTCTGGAAAAGGAGTTTCCATGGAAGAGACGTGCAGCTGACAGGAGTCCTGCGAGACGGTTCCCATTCTCATTTCTTTCTCCTAATTCAAAATTTCCGATCCAGTATTCGTGGTCGTTGACCTTTCCTGCTTTAAGGTTGAAGTCTCCGACAACAAATTTGTAAAATTCTTTATTATTGCATGGAAATGCGAGCAGAAAGGATCTAGTATGAGTCGACGAAATGAACAGCGGACTGATGGAAGACAACGCCAGCGCCGCCGACATTTCGTGACGGGACC